TATATATAATTTTTATTTATATACTTATGTCTTATTTCCAGTGCTGGATTGAGGAGGTGAGGTGGGGGTAGTAGGGCTATAGTCCCGGGACTCACAGTGTTAGGGGAAATAGTCAGGAGGACCCATCGGTATTTTTTTTAGTCATTTTTAAGCTGTGGCACTTAAAATGGCCGCTAAAATAATGCAGCACCCAGCCCTGAAAAGTCCAACAAGATTCAACCAGATGATTTATTTATAAATAAAAACGTTTTTTTAATAACTGTTTTATGCTTCGCGTAGTTTAAAAAGTTCAACACATTTGAAACAATTCTTCTTAGTAAGATAAACAAATGAAATAATTATATCATTGAGTTACTGTAGAAATTCAATTAGCTAGATAATAATTAACAAAAAACGTTAAATTAATTTGTGAGGAGGAAGCGGAACTGCTTCAAATACCGCTGGTGATGTTTAGTAAATGGGCTTTATAATTTTAATTAGTTTTTAAAACAGAAAAAGTAACTTTAAGTATAACGAGTTAGTAAGAATGGCTGAAGCAAAAATAATTGAAGTTAGTAAACCAAATTCTAAGAACTTAAAAACTTTTCTTTTTTGGGAGAAAGAATCAGTTATCGGGTTCACTGAGGAAAATGGATTAGTGGTTAAAATTTTCTGTATTAATTTTGACGATTATTAATAATTTCATTAAAAACGCAGTTATTATTGAAAATATTTTTGTTTGCATTTGAATAAAATACACATACATAAAATAACATAAATAAAAATACATTACATACATAAAAATACATTACACATATATGAAAAATACATCCCTTATAAATAAAAAGTAAGAATATACTTATAAAATCTTTAATATATTTACAAAATGTTGACAAGTTAAAAAATATAAATTTAAAACATTATTGTAACCAAATAATGTTAGTTTAAAACATTAATAGCTTTGTAGATGTGGCTCCAAGAATTAAAATAGTAGTTCGTTTGATAGGATATTATTAAAATAATTTATGCTAGAAATCTCAACAATAACGCAGCAAAATTTAAAAAATATAATTTTTTAAAATATTTCAACAGAATACTCAGGACATTCGGTTAGTATTTTTTTAAATACTCTAGAAATTTTGGTTAGTATTTTTTGAACCAATAAAATTAGTTGTTCGTAGATTTGGCGGTTTTTTTGTGTTCACGAATATTCTTTTTTTATTTTTCCGCAGTAAGATGTTTGAGAACATTCAAGTTTATGTATGTTTCCATGTAAGTCCGTAAAACAAAAGATTTTAAAGTTTACGATAAAATAAACTAATTTTTTTGCGGATAAACAAGGAAACATAGATAAACTTAAATGTTCTCAAAACGACTAAAAAATCTGGCCGGTTTTTTGCAACTATATATATATATATATATATATATATATATATGTGTGTGTGTGTGTGTATGTATGTGTGTGTATGTGTTTTTAAGTATAAATTAATGTTTAGATAAGCAGTGTGACATCATCCTAAAATAGTTTGCTGCTGCATAAAAGTTGCTGCCTGTTTCTATGTTTTATTGTTAAACCTTTGTGTCAAACTTATTTTGCCAACCTGATGCTGACCTCTAACAGTTTCATTTTTTTAACTCTTATGGCTGTATATAAGCAATTCCCTTTTTAACTTACACGTGCAACAACTTTATCAAATATTTGCCAATTTAAAACTTAACTGCAAATTAAGTTTTTAGCTATTTTGTATGAAAGGTGTTAGTCTAAAGAATAAAATAAGCTAAAAAATTTTGAGTGTGGCCAAAAGAGGGCCAACTTATTACTGAAAATGCTACTTTACTCACATTACACAGAAAACAAGGTAAAAAAAAATGCATTAACTTTTAGGTCTGTTTTTGCAAATCAGTAAAACTTTTACGAGATGTTGAGAATTCTATACCAATTTAAAAAATATATAAAAATTTATCAGAGGTGACCGGCTAAGGAAAATAAACTAGTTTTTTGATACTATATGTTTAACTTACGTTACATCAACAAAAGAATTGCAAAAGTATTGAACTCATTCATTAATTGACAAAAGCAATTTTAAAAAACTGGGGGCTCTATTCCATAGTGATTTTTCACAAAATTTATGAAAGTTATCAAATCAAAAACAGTTTTTTCTGCAAGACCAAGGAGCAACTTTAAAAAATTACTTTAGTAAGACAAATTTATTAATAATTATTATTTCATTTGAATAAGAACATCTTTAGTTGGTCAAAAATTTTACTTACACCTCTTATGTTTATTCGTATTGCCTTATTTTCATTAGGTTTAATTTTTAAAATGCATTTTTATTTATATTTACATTAGTATTTACATTTGAATCTTTTAAAATATTTTCGATGTAAAAACTGCTGTCACAGTTTAGGAAGCAGAGGAGGTTTAGGTATATGTGATCATTTGTGATAGGAGGACAGGGATTAAAATTGGCAAATATAGGGTGACATATTTTATGGACGACCCCTCAGGGTTAACCCTAACCCTAACCCTGACCCCTCTTAATCGCATTTACAAACAATTTTTGTTACTAAAACAAAAATATTACCAAATAAGAATTATGAAATGATGTATGTGTTCATTACATAATTCTTATTACACAACAGCAACAAAAACTCATGTTTTTGTTAAATTAGGTTACATGGAAATTGCAAAAGTTCTTTATTTATTTTCTTGAAATATATATTATATTTTATAAAGTATAAAATCTGACCAACAACAAATTGAATACGTTAGTTCCATTTTCACACTAAATTAATTTGGATTATGCAAATAAATTCATGGTTTAAATAACATTTTACTATAGTACTTTTCATCATGTGACAATAAGAAAAACCGTAATTTTCTATCTAATAAATTCTAATAAATATAGCAATATTTTTCAGTTTTAACAACATGTTTCGATTATATAATAATCATTTTCAAGTATAAAACTGTTAAATACAAAAACTATTTAATATATAGTAAAAACAAACATTAATTTAATTTTATTTGTTAGTCAAACAAAACAAAACATGAAAGTTGTGAAAACTACATCATAGAATAATTGAAAATGTAGATAATTTTTGTAATACATACATCATAGAGTAATATAAAACGTCGATTAGAGCTGGAGTGATAGCGTGTAATTAAAAACTTCTTTATTAAGATCTGGTTTTTCCCACATAATGTGTAATGCTTCTTTGATTTTTAAGTGATGTGAAGTTTGGGCGTAGTCTAATACTGAGAAGTTTTTTGTAATTTGAAACTTCCTCTTCTTTTATTCAAATGTTGAGTGGTTTGAACCAGATAACAAGCATTACAGATTTTACATACAAATTTATATATGACATTTGAGCAGAGATGTTAAGAAGTTTTATCTTAGGTTGAAAAAAAATTATTATTTTTAAAGGATGAGAATGCCAATTTAATATTAAGAGTTTTACAATGTTTTTTGCATGAACCATTTATTCCAATTTCAAAACAAAATAAATGAAATTATAAATATCATTTACGACCATTTTGTAATATATATAATATATAATATATATATATATATATATATATATATATATATATATATATATATATATATATATATATATATATATATATATATATATATATATATATGTATCAGCCCTCAGAATCAGCAAAAACGAGGTCGGCATCATTCCGGCAAAAGAATTTGACACTAAATTAATCATAGAAACAAGGTCGGCAATTTTTTGCTGACCTAAAACACTTTAAGATTGGCAGTTAGGTCGGTATTGCCAAATCCCGACCCTAATTCTGAGGGCTGATATACACTACCGTCAATAATTATTTGAATGACATCAACATTCAAATAAAGTGCTTCAATTGAATTATTTTTTATTTTTGTGTTATTAGATAATTTACTTTAGGTAATGTAAAAGTATTTTGATTTAAATAACTTTGATAAAAGTAAAAAAATAAACTTATCAAACTGTGTTTAAATTGGTTGAAGTAGGGTTTAATATTTATTTATGTAAGCGTGCTGTATTGTTAATCACTTGATAATCATGTAATTATCAAGTTTGATATTTATGTAAATCATTCGTAAATCATGCAATAAAGTCTGATGTCTTTGTGAAGGTTGTTTCATGTAAGCAACATAAACATTATTACTATTATTAACTATTACTATTATTACTATTACTGAGTATTTTATTTTAAGAGATTTATGCTATCTTGCTGAATTTTGATAGTCTCTACTAACTATTAATGATAATTATGAATTTTGATAGTCTCTACTAACTATCAATGATAGTTCTGAATTTTGATAGTTTTTACTAACTATCAAATAGTCTCTATTAACTATCAAAATTCAATCCAGCAAGATTATAGCATAAATTCTGGAGTTTATAAATTATTAAACTAATAGTTTAAAAATTTCTCCAGTATCTGTTACAACAGTGAAAAGGCTATTGATTAAAGCAGGACTTGGTGGCAGTATAGCTGTGAGGACATATATATGTGAGAATATATATATATATTTATATATACATATATATATATATATATATATATATATATATATATATATATATATATATATATATATATAATATATATATATATATATATATATATATATATATATATATATATATAACCCTCGGAATTAGGCAGTTAGATCGGTAATGCCGACCTAAACGTGTTTGTGGTCTATATATATATATATATATATATATATATATATATATATATATATATATATATATATATATATATATATATATATATATATATATATATATATATATATATATATATATATATATATATATATATATATATATATATATATATATATGCCTCTCATATTTTTTAAGAGGGGTCGTCCATAAAGTATGTCACCCTATTTTTGTCAACTTTTAACCCTTGCCTTCCTATCACAAATGTTTTTTGCACTATGCAGGAACTACTAAAAACAAGCTAATAGTTGCAGTTGTCTTATTTAGATGGAAGTATATCTATATATTGTAATAATTATTACATTTAATTAAAATTACTGTGGAATTACTAAAGTTGCTTCATAATTATATAATTACTTCATAAATAAAAAGATAATGCTGGTTAGAATGTTAGAATGGAATTTACAAACTTTTCTATTCTATCCACCAAACCCAGCTTTTTTAAGACCATCTTGAGAAACAAAAGAAGCCATTAAATAAACAATCATAAGGTCTTATAAATAAAACTTACCCAGTTTTTTTTATTTTTAGAAACTGTTGAGCTTACATCTCAAGATGAAATCCCTCCTAATAGCTTTTTGAGTTTGCATTTAATGGAAGCAAAGGATCCAGATGGTGGTCAAGATGAGTTGTGGTTGACTTTAGAGAGTATGGGCTATTCTCGAAAACTTAACCTTATTAAGGCAAATTTTTTATTTTCAAAAACCTTCAGTTTAAAAACTCACTTAAATATAGGGTTTATTTTTTTTGGAAATTTTTAAAAATAATTTTGTTTTTAACAGGCTTGTCCATTCTATATAGAAACATATACGAGCAGAGGAAAAAGTATATTACTTTCCTCTGGAATTAATAATATTGAAGATGGTATTAATGTTCTAAAAAATATTATCAAGCAAGTTATTGATTCAATTTCTTTCAAAAATTCAAAAGATCTATTATTATTTGTCGGAAACTTCAACAGTTCTTTTGTTATTGCTGTTGAAAATCAAGTATGATTGTTGCATTAAGTTTTATTTGATTTTAGAATTTAAATTAGTTTTATAAATTTATTATTTCAATAAATTTTTTATTTGCTTATTTCCAACTTAATATATTATAGGGCATGACTGTAATCAAAGCTCGTGTTGACTGCTCTAAAAGTGTAAACTTGAAAAGTAATCGAGAAAGTCTTGATGTTTGTGAAAAAATTGGTGTTAAAGAAATGAAAGCAAGTTTATATTTATTCTAAAATCTTTTCACTATTTTTTTGTTTTTAATGACTTTTATACTTTTTGATATTTTTTATGTAAACAGATTGTTCACCATCTTACTGTTGTGGATCCTGCCAAGCCAACACAATTACACTATGTTGAGTCAGCAGTTTACTGAGAGTTTTTAATAAGGAATTTGCATAAAATATATTTATAAATAAATTTTAATATAATATACATATTTAGAATGTAAATAATTGAATAAATAAAAAAAATGTAAATAAATTTTTAAATAGGTAGTAAATTTATTTCATATCTTTTTGTTATTGTATTTAGTGATATAAATAAAAAATTTGTAAAAGTTTTTATTTTTATTTCTATTTTTAATTTTGTCTTTAATTTTTCTTTCTGTTTCATGTTTTTATTTTGATACCACTTTTAAAACTTAGCACTTATAAAAATATCACTTTTGTCTTTTAAATTTTTGTGAAATAAATTTATATAGTTAATTTTTTGACATTTTCATAACAATTTTATTGCGATTTTTTTAACTTTTTATTTGTAAAGCAATTTCTTCAAAATTTTTCTCTTCATGGATTTTATGTATGCATTATGGTGGAGAGATTTTTTTAAATGTTTGAGATCCTAAAGGAGCCTTAAAAGATTTAAGATTTTTTTTGCTCTCAAAATAGCTCCATCCTAGTGCACATGTAAGTTGTACTTCTCAGGTAATAGTTTTTATGCATTATAATTTTGTATAATTTATTAATATGCTTTAAAATAGAATGTCTGCGCAAATACGTCATATTGGAAAGCTTTCTTTAGAAAGCACTGCATTTTTGCTCTGTGATATTCAAGAAAAGTTTCGCTCATCAATTCAATACTTTTCTGAAATTTGTGTAGTTGCTCAACGTCTTGTTACAGCCGCAAAACTTCTGGATATACCCGTTGTGGGAACAGAGCAGTATCCAAAAGGGTTGGGACATATTGTTGAAGAAATAGACACCTCTAAAATGAAGATTTTTGAAAAGACAAAGTTTTCTATGTCACTCCCTGAAGTCCATAGCTACTTGGAAGAAGTGAGACCAAATTTGAAGTCAGTGGTTTTGTTTGGTATTGAAGCTCATGTTTGCGTTATGCAAACTGCTTTAGATTTGTTAGAAAAAAACTACGAAGTTCATATTGTTGTTGATTGTTCTTCATCTCGTACTATGACTGATAGGTTATTTGGATTTGAAAGAATTCGTCAATCAGGTGGTTTTATAACAACAAGTGAAGCAGTGTTGTTTATGTTACTGCAAGATGCTAAACATCCCAAATTTCGAGAAGTTCAAAAATTAGTTATGGAGTCTGCTCCATTTCAAGCCTTGGTTCCAAAAGTTTGAACTTATTTAAAAATTTCATTTAATGTTTTTTCATTATTACTTTATACATCTTTTGCAGAATTTTATAAAAATATATTTTCATTCTTTTAGTTTAATTTCTGCAATTTTAATGTAAAATTAATTATAGTCATTGCTTTTTTGTGTATTTTTAAATAAAGGTAATATTAGTATCACTAAGTATTTTACCATTTTTTAGCATTTATGTTGTTTGTGAACAAAGATGATATGGTTTTTTTTTGAGAAAGTTTTATATTTGTTTTTTGCTTTTATTTTTTTGTTTTTGAAATTAAATTTTTTCATTTTATCCATTGGTTTATTTATTTTTCCTCATTTGTTGTTAACTCTCTAAATCTTATAACAGAAACCTTGAAAAACAAGATTGCTACAATTATTTTTGCTTAGCAACAAAATTTCTATTATTATTGTGCAGACCTAAGATGGTTTCACCTAAATAAATTGTTTGCACCTAAATAAATTGGTTTCATCTAAATAAATTAGTTGCACCTAAATAAATTACTTGCAACTTAATAAATTGGTTGCACCTGAATAAATTGTTTGCACCTAAATAAATTAGTTGGACCTAAATAAATTAGTTGCACCTAAATAAATTAGTTGCACCTAAATAAGTTGGTTGTACCTAAGTAAATTGGTTGCACCTGAATAAATTAGTTGAACCTAAATAAATTAGTTGCACCTAAATAAATTGTTTGCACCTAAATAAATATATTTTTGTGTTATCTATTGTGGTTTATGGGATCTATTAAATATTTTGTTTATTATAAAATTTAGTAATAGTGACTATAATTGTCCCACTTAACTTTTTGTAGAATTTTTTTTTCTTATGTTAGATTTTTTAAGAGCATTTTTTAAATAGAGTGCAAAAAATCTTAATTTTTTTTTTTAGGTGTATGATTTTATTTTTGAGTATGATTTTTTGAGAGTTTTTCTGTTTAAATGATAGATAGCTTGCATATTTGCATTTTTAAAATTTTACAATCAAAAAATTAAATTTCAAAATAAATAACTGCCTTGCTTTGTCCAACCTGTTTGCAAACTAAAATTTTTTTACTACTTTTGTGCTTTTTTTGTTCTAGTTTTTCTTTTTAAAGTATTTTTTGTGTTTTCTCTTTATCTTATTTTCTGTATTGGTTCTTTGGTAGAACGCTGGCTTCATAAGCAAGTATCAATCCTTATGTCCCTGGTAGTAGATAGCATCCTGCTTAAGTTGATATTTGCAAGTGGTCTTGTTCTTTAAGGTTTATGTTTTGGAGTTCTAAGTTGGAAGAGGATTGTGACAACAATATTACAAAAAAAATTATTGTGGTCTTAGGAATAGGTGAACGCAGTTTAAAAAAAAATTTTGTAAAGTAATATAAGTAATTTTACCTATGATTGGTTTTTTCTTAACAAATATTTGTTTCTTATTTATAATTATATGCTTTGCTAATCTTTTTTAAATCCTATAACTTTCTTCCCATGAAGCTATCATTGCACCACTATTGTATCAAGTAATTTGTAAATTGTTGTTAAATTTTATATGGTTTTTGTTTACAAGGATGGAAGTTAATCATAAAAAAGTACTTTGTGCAGCATTATCAGATGTTAAACGTTATTAGAAAAGTATGGTAAACTGTATATGCATTCTCAATGGAAAACAAAAATTATTGGCGGAAGGTTGGTTACTGTCCCTATTCATTATGAAAGTGCTCCCATTGAACAAGATCATCCAGAACTATGGTATGTTTTCAAATTTTATATTATACTTTACATTAATAATTTTCTTAAAATATTTGCATAATAATTTACAAAATAATTTAGGGTTACTAAATCACAGTGCACCAATAATCGAATTGAAGCACATCGTAATAAGCAGCGAGCACTGAAACAGCTACATTCATCTGTTCTTGATCCTCAAGGTTAGTAAATCTAATGAGTTATTTTTAAATTGATTTTTTTTGCAAATTTTTTAGTAAGAAATAATTTTAAATTAGAAAAACTGTTTTTTTTTTTTAGTTTGTTGTATTTTTTGTTTATTTATTGTTACTATTTTTATTTAGTTTTTTTATTGTTACTATTTTTCATTTAAGTAGTTTTTACTAAACAGTAATATTTGAAATAATTTACACCAAGTTATATACTACCACTGTTTCTGACTAGTTGCAAAGATAAAAATATGAATTAGTAATAATAAACAAGAAAAATACTATGATACTCCATTACGGATTAAACTTAAAAATTTTTTTATTTTGTAGATTATTGCATAAGTAATGTCGAAATCTCAAACCATTCAAATTATTTTTTGGAACAAGATAACAGAAAAAATCAAAAGTTCGGTATGCTAAACACACAAAAGCAATTTTCTTCATCGTCATCTTCTGTTAATTTTTTGAGAAGGTTGAATTTAGCACCTCGTTTGCGGTTTGAACTTGAAAATGAACTGTATTTGTTAAATAAATCAAAGAATTTTAATACAAATAATCTTCATAGCATGCTAAGAGCATTAGACAAGTATCAGACCGGAAAACTATATTTTAAGGAGGTATTATTTATTTAAATATTTTTATAAAACTATAAACCAATAGCAACAATATTACTAAAATTATTTTCATTTTTGAAACATAAATACCAAGTCTTTTGATCCATAAATTTTTTAAACACGAAATCTTTTGAAACATAAAATCTTCTTGCCTTTAAGTTTAGACACTTAACTATTGTTTCATTAAGTTTCTTATTTGTATAAGAATTAAAATTTATAGTTTTTTACTTTTAAGATATTGCAAGAATTAGATGCATTGGACAATGGTTTGAATTTAACTGTCTTTTTTGAAACAATGCAGTATTGCAATTTCCAATCTAATGGTCTGATTGAGTATGTATTTCTTAAGGTTGTTTCTTAAATTTTGTTAAGTATTTATTTGGTTTTACACATTTTCTTATACATGTGTTTTTGCTATCTTATTTAAATTATTTAAGTTTTTTTTTTTAATATACATTTCTAACATGACAAACTATATAATCATTTTCCCTTAAAAACTCAAACAAAAGTAGTCAATCAAACTAAAATATTTGAGCTAAAAATGTGAATCAAATAAAAATCAAAACATTGAGAGTATTTTTGTATTGTTGACAAAACATTATTTTAAAATATACCAGTGGACCTTAAATTACTCGTAAAAACTATAAAGGCTGAATTTTGTGTAATCTTAATTTTCTAATAATTTTTATGATCAGATCTTGTATTAGTTTAATGTCAGAAAAACCTAGTTTTGAATATTCCTATATTTAGAAATTTTTTATACAGTTAGGTGAAAATTTTTTTAATTGTGTGAATTGAAAAATCCTATTTTTTGTCCCAGTTTTTAATTAAGGGGTAAACAAGTTGACCAGCCTCGCACCCCTTCTTCATCTATTAGGCTGGCGTAGTAAATTGTTTCCAGTTTAGGATGTTGAATGCTGGATTTTCTTGACTTAATGCATGGGTTTTGCTTGTGTCTCTATTTTTATGACTAGGTAACTTATAATTTTATAATGCAGTTAGTGACTAGAGTGTTATTACAAAAGTAATAACACTCTAGTAACTAACTGCATTATAAAAGTAATAAAACTATAATAGCGTTATTACTTCTATAAAGCACTTATAACTTTTAAAAATCATTCTTTGTTTAAACAATATTAATAATTTCAAACTTTAATTAAAGTAGAAAAGCATCTAGAAAAAATAAAGTGGATATTCAAATATTATTAAAAACTTCAGAAACCTTTACAAATACACTTAAACACTCTAGTAACTAACTGCATTATAAAAGTAATAAAACTATAATAGCGTTATTACTTCTATAAAGCACTTATAACTTTTAAAAATCATTCTTTGTTTAAACAATATTAATAATTTCAAACTTTAATTAAAGTAGAAAAGCATCTAGAAAAAATAAAGTGGATATTCAAATATTATTAAAAACTTCAGAAACCTTTACAAATACACTTAAACAACTTTATGAAAACGTACTTTATGAAAAATTTTGCATTATGAAAAATGTTACTAATAGTCTGTAAAAATGTGGGTTAATTTTAATATCAACTAAAAAAAAAATTTTATTAGTTGATTTTAAAATTAACCTATGTTTTTACGGCCATTAGTAACGTTTTTCATAATGCTCAACTTTTTTTACATTTTGTTTTCATAAAGTTGTTTAATTGTATTTGTAGAAGTCTTCAAATTTTAAATTTTGTTTGAATATCCACTCTATTTTTCTAGATGCTTTTCTCCTTTAATTAAAATTTGGGATTACTTACGTTGTTTGAAGAAAGAATGAATTATAAAAGTAATAAGTGAGTTATAAAAGTAATAACACTATTATAGTGTTGTTACTTTTATAATCCAGTTAGTTACTAGAGTGTTATTACTTTTATATTTGTTAGTTTATTGTTTTATTTTTTATAATTTTTTTGCTAACAAATTTTAGTTGATTTGTCCCTTGAAAACAAAAACACGGCATAAACTAAAATTTTAAAGACCAGATATTTTTCCAGATTTTGCATTTTGCGATCGCCTAATTCAACCCTTGATCATCTCTTGGTTCTGCTAATCTTGTTCTGCCTGATCTAGCTGACAAACTGGTCAATCCATTGCCTGATGTTTGTATCACTCCAGCTTCTGTATCAAAAGTGATTTCCTGCTTAGACTCCTCTACAGCTTGTGTTCTGGACAGCATACCTGTTAAAGTCTTGCAGAAGTGTTCTCCAGAGCTGTTGTCTATACTTTCAAAACTATCTAACAAGGGCTTATCAGAGTCTTGTTTTCCAGCCTGATGGAAAGCCGCATCTGTTATCCTTATTTTCAAAAACTCTGGAGAGAAATCTGACTTGTTTAACTATCATCCCATTAGTCTTCTTCCTATCATAAGCAAGGTTTTTGAGTCTTTAATTAACAAACATTTTTTTTTAAATGTAAATTCACCTCCCCAAGGCCGAGAAGGCCACTACAGGTGAGGAGGCTATTTAGTTGTGGTTATAATCCTCTCTCAACTTTATAACTCTAAAACATGAAATACAAATTTTGAGTTAATTGAATCCTCCATTTTATAAATGTGTACTAAAAATCAATTGGCTGTTGCAACAACCAAAAAAGATTTTGTGAAATTACAGAATTTTAATAAAAGCAAATAGATATCCAGGGAAAGTCATAAGTAAATTTTAAGAAGGTAAAATTCCAGCAAGTTCCAGGTGTTTTAGTTGTAGAATTAGTTGTAAGAGTTCAATTTGTACCTATTGATTGTACTTACCGGTTGATAATTATTAGTTTAATAATTTTAGTTATTAACTTTAGTAATTTGTTTTATACAAAATTATTTTAAAAACATTTGTTACCAAGGAACTTTTTTATTGTCTTAATTTTTATTTTTTCGATTTTTTTGAGGGAGCTGTGTTGTAACACAAATTAAAATATACTTTTTTATGCAGAATTTTATATCACCAAAAAAACATAAAGCTGCAAATAAAAATTAATTTTAATGATCAAGAGTTTTGAAAATTTATTTATATAATGCATTAAAATAAATTTATTTTTTAGTTAAAAACATTTTTTCTCATTATTTTATGTGGTTTAAGTCTATAAAAATTTTTAAAAGATATATTCTTTAAAAGGTCTTTTTTTTAGTTATGAAATTTTTATGCAAATATTGTCTGAGTTGCAACCAACATATTTACCACCAATTGATGTAAGTAACAGTCCTAAAGTATTTCCCTACAACACAAAAAAATTCAATAAGTTACCCGAAAGTTCATCTAATGAAAATATTTTATCAAGTCATCGATTGGAGGACTTTTCAAGAATACCATACACCATACACCAAAATATCTCTGTAAATACTTCATCAACCAATAAATATAACCAAGCCAATGTAATTTTTTTTTTATCATTCAAATGCATTAAATTAAAAAAAAAAAAAAAACTAGTTAATTAGATTTCTCTGATCTTAATTCTTTTTTTCATTTTATAGGATTTATTAAAGATTTTACCTCCTGTACAAAATAGTGAGTCAAACAATGTTGTTTATGGCAAAAATTCAGAGACTTACTCATTGGAAAGACTTTCTCCATCTGTAAGCAAGAGTACTTGTGTTGTCAACATACCTTGTGTAAGCAATAGTCCTTGCTTTGACAGTTGTAAAAAGCGCAACTTTAAAAATACCTCAAGTAGTTACTATGATAAAACAAATAGGAAGCTCTGGATAAAAGATAGAAAATTAAAAAGTACAGAATCCTTAAGTGATCAATGCTGGTGGAAAAAAAGTCAGATTGATGATTCAATTGATGATGTAGATAGTAAAGCACGTAAAGGCTGGAGCGATTCAGAAAAAATTAAAACTGTGAAAGGGAAAATTCGTAGAGATAAAGTTTTTATAGAAATCAACAACACAGGTTAAAAACCTTTTTTAAAAACTATTTCAAAATAATTAATGAAGAATAATTTATAAAATTTATATAAATTATAATAATTTTTAGAATAAATATAAAATTAATAATTAAAAGAACTAAAAATATTTAAAAATTTAAGTAAAAATTTAAATAAATTATGTAAGCTAACAAAATTTTACTTTTTTTACTCCTTTTTTGTGAACAGTTTTTAATTTTTTTTTTAATTTTAAATGTACAATAATTTTTCTATCATGTCTGGTTCCCAAAATATTTGGGTTCAAATTCTTAATGTTTTGGATGTAATTTGTCAAGACTTTTTTTAGTTTTTATTTATTTTTAATTCTATAAATTATTATATTAAAAAAAAAATTAATGCTTTATTTGTTTTAGAATAGTTAAAAAAAGAGTTTTCTAAAGTGTTGCTAATCTTTTGCTAAACTTTTACAACTTTATAAATTATATTTAATTAAATTTTTTTTTTTTGATTTTGAATTAGATTTTTTTTTAATTTAAATTGTATTTTAGTTATTAATTTATTAACTAATTTATATAAATCAAGTTTTTTTGACAGAAAAAAAGAATTTGACAAATGAAAAAAGTCATTCCGATTCAGAATGCCATTATACCTCTGACATAAACAGCGATTTCTATACAACAACTGATATTGAGATTACACTGGGCAGCTTAGCTAAGAAAAAAATTCCTAAAAAAACATGTTTTGAAAATGTGCTGATTGTTGATCCAATATCTGTCTTAAAAGCTTCTGAACCTACTAATTTAGTTGTTTTACCAAAAATAGAGAAAAAAAATGAATTAGTAGTGAAAGAGGATGAAAAAAAACCTTCTAACAATCAATCGATTATAAATGAGGAGGAAGAAAAACAAGGGAAAACCTCTAATAACAAGTTATGTAACAATGCATTAAAAATAAATATGTGTGAACCAACTGACCTAATTGTTGATTACAAAAATCAAAATGAAGATGTGGGCACTAATGTTATTTTCAAAACTTTAGGTGCTTCTAAAAATCATGACTCACTGATTAACAATTGTGTACATGAAAAGAACAACTTATTACCTAAATCAGGTTTGTTTTCTATTTACTAGTTTTCTTGTCTTATTTGTCTAATTTCTATAAAATCTCCATTAGTTATTTAAATGATATGTGTTTGTTATTTGATTTTCAGTTAATGTTGAAGTAAAGGGAATTACATATACTCTATATCCTTCAATGAATTTACATTTACCAGATTTAAAAAATCAAAATATAAAGAAGAGTTTGTCATTAGAATGGATGTAATTTTTTTTTTTTTTTTTTGTATATTTAGCTATCAATTTTGTTATCAGTGTTTATTAGAAGAAAATGTATTTGAATTTCAATCCTTTTTTTTTATATTTCAGTATTTTTTTAAAAGTGTTTTTATGATGTTAATTAGTGCAATGATGTGTAACTTTGTTTTTTTGTATCATAATTTGATGGCTTTTAGTAAAGGTTTTTGAAATTATTGTAAATAAATCCAAATTAGAATTCAAGTTTTAGAGAAACATTTGTAAAACATTATAATGGTCATTAAACACATGTCAGTTATTTACTGTCATTGTACAGTGTGAATCTCAAAAGAAGGTTGTCCTTGTTTTTCTAATTTATAAAGAAGTACTTGATGGTTTAAAGTTTAGTTGACCCCTGGAGCTCATTGTTCATGACAAGGCAAAGAATGCATTCCAACATCTGGTGGCAACTTATAAACTTGGGTTTGATGTAACCTATTTCTTGAAGCCTTTGTTGCAGTCAAACATTAACTGCTTTCTTCATGTTGATATTCACACTTGTTGTATTTGTAGCTACTTCTTTAATGCCTCCTGAAGCTCTGCTATTGTGTGAGCTTTCCCATCTTGAAGTTTATATAGATTACTATTAATGTATAAATTATGATAAAATGACAAACATAATCTTTTAAATGTTGTTTGTGTGTGACCTTCATTAAGAGTGCAATAGAATGAACTTTAGTCATTAATAAGCAAAAGTTTATCCATTCACGCTAAAAGTTTATCCATTCACACTACAGTAATTTGTTTTCAAGGAAAAATATCTTTATCCTTATATTAACTTAAAATTCAGTTTTGAATTTTTATTTTTTGAAACTTTATTTTATTGTATCTTTTTCCTTGTTTTTTTGTTTTATGTATGAGGTATTTTTTCTTTACTGTCCCTAGGCCTGATTCATGCTGTTCTGTTATCTAAAAAGTCATAGAGTAAAGTTATTTATTTTAACTCTCAAAACACTGATTACTATTTCACTTAGTTTTCTCTATTTTTGCAATTTTTTTGTTATTGACTTTATAGAAATTTTTTAGATATGGTTTTAGTGGTTCAAATATCTTCATAACTTCTCCAAAAGTGCTGGTGTTTCCTGTTTGTACCATTGTTGTTCTTTTGGATCCAGAAAAGAAAAGTCAAGTTTATTATCGCAAACACACTCATAATATAACTTGGTGAGTTATTTTAGGATTTAAAATTACTTATTATTCATTTATTTAACAATTTACAGTTTGTAAAGTCTAGTTAAGTAAAAGAAATTGAGTAAGTCTAATGGAGTAAAAGAAATAGAGTAAAATGATTTTGAGAACAAAATTAGTATTTTATTAAGTGAGAGTTATCAAGAATCAAAGGTTTTTAACAAAATTTTATCTTCAACTTCAATAAAAAAAAAACATTTGCAGAGGAATAGGTACTTATTTAACTGTTTGAAAATCTATGTAGACAGCCTCCTTGTAATCCTAATAAACAAAAGGCCTTGCCATAACTGCCAATAGAATAGTTGCTTTTATTTTTTTTTGGTCTATATTTTCCTATAGATAAATGGACAAGTGAAAACTCACAAAAATTAATGGTGATGAAACAACATTTTTTTGAATGGCAATGAAATGATAGTTTATTTTGACCAAAAAAATCCAAAGCAACATTTCAATACATTTTTTAATACAATCAGCCAATCATGCACAAATCTTTTTCATCTTTAATTGCTCAAACTATTTGTTAGTAAAATATAACTAGTTAGACTTTTATTTGTCATCACTATGAACGTTAATGTTGAACAGTGGGGTTGCTTGTAAAGGTGTACTTGTAATATGTATCACAGAATATATAATCTATTTATCACAGAATATATAATCTATTTATCACAGAATATATAATCTATTTAACACAGAATATATAATCTATTTAAAAACTAATTAAAAAAAAAATTCTTTTTTTTTTATTTAGTTTTTAGTCAATAAAACTGGTAAAAATGAATTTTTTTATTTTTAGTTAATAAACTTCATTTTCAATGCATTAAAATATAATATATTAATTTTTATATAACATAATTACTATTTTTTAAATTTTCATATAGCTTTGCTTCATTTGAGAACATGAAACACTTTTTAAAAACTTTTTTTTGTTGTTGATAGTAGTAGAGACTTTTCAAGGGTCTTGAAGGACCCTAAAAAGTATATATATATTTTTTAAATATTTTTAATCCAGTGTTATTTTAATATATAGAAAACCTTTTTAGAAGAAAAATAAACTGTATTTTTTTTTTTTTTTTCTAAAAAAACCACAAAACCAGTAGTTAATTTAATTATACATTACTAAAAGAAGAATAGTTTAAAGATTTCTTGTTTTGACAAGCTAAAGTGTAACATAGAAAGCACAAGTATTGTGAAAGTATGTAGAGTTTTAAAAAACACTTTATTATTGCATTTAGTTTTATTTATTTAAATATTTTTTTAACCAAATTTTTTTTTTTTTTAAATTTTATTATTATTGTTTTTTTTTGTTGTTAAATTTTTTGTTATTGTTGTTTAGTTATTTTAATTTGAGATTTTAAACAACTAATTAATGTTTAATATCTAAATCAATTGTTTAATTATTGAATGTGTCATATGCTAAACCACTTAAATCTACTGAATAAAAAATTGAAAAAAATGATCATAATTAGCGTTTGCAATCCCGGGATCCCAAAATCCTGGGGTTGCTGCCTTTTTAACAATCCCGAAATCCCGGTATTTGTCTAATATAATTCCCGGGATTCCCTATACGATCGAGCAAAACAAAGGGGAAATCAAAAAATATATAAAAATAACAACAATTTATGCACATCTATATAATAATTTTTATTTAGTTTAATATGACAGAAAGTAATTCTATTTTCAGTATTTCGTTCTGTAATTCTGCAAAATAAACTTTTTTAAACTGAAAAAAAAAAAACCTGTCTTTCTTACAAGGTTTAATCTTAAACTTAAAACTTAAATAAGCATGGCGTATGTGGATTTTACAATTAAAAGTAACTCAGCTGTTAGGAAATATTTTCTACGAGAAAAAAAAGGGCAAACAGCGATTTGTAAATTGACAAACTGCAAGAAGATTTTTAAAATAAGTGGTGGTTCAACAGGACTTTATATACACATGTTGTCGCTACATAATGTGAAGGTCAAAAGTTCAATCCAACCCTGTACATCAGATAAACCACCAAAAAAGAAATCTAATCAACTAACAGAGTACTTTTTGATTTTTGAAAAGGAAGATAAAACACTTCACGCTACACTTGCTTTTCTAACGGCGTCTGACGGGCTTTCATTTAATGTGATTTGTTCTTCAATAGATTTACGTGCCGCTCTAACTACTATGGGATTCAGAAATCTATCAACGTCAGTAAACACAATTCGTAATCATGTAGTATAGTACAGCAAAAAAGTAAGATTAGGTTTAGTTCAGCAAATTAAAGCGCTTAAGAGTACAGAATTCGGGGTAGGAGAGAAATTTTCTTTGTCTTTTGAAGAATGGATGTCACTTCGAAATCGTTGCTATATGAATGTTAACGTTCATGGATTTAAATTCTCAGTTTTGAAGTTTGGGTTTAGTGCGAATATCAGGGTCAATGCTAGCAGAAATGTGCTAGCATTGCCCACGGCAACATTGTGGCTATAATGACCGACAAAGTTAGTGTTATGAAAAAAGTTAGAAGGTTGATGGCTGCAAATCAACAATTATGTTTTGCCCACGGCATACAACTTGCTGTAATTGATGTTCTTTATAAAAAAAGAGAATTCGATGCAAATCAGCCAAAATTTGAAAATGAATTTTTTGACTGTGATTTAACCAAGAAGGAGGATATTGAGGAAGATTTACTAGGCTATAATCATGAAACTTTAAGGTCTAAAATTGAACTAAATGAAGTTCATTATGGACCAGTCATTAAAAAAGTATGCAAGTTGATAATAATATTTAGATCACCTACCAACAATGACATCTTACAAAAATATATTAAGGCTGAATTTGGAAAACAACTGTCTTTAATTATGGATCGCAAAACAAGGTGGAGCAGCCTTCTGTTAATGCTTTAATGATTTTATAAAGTAAAAAATTGTATACAAAAATCATTAACTGATATTTATTCAGTGCAAGATAATTCTATAGCTCTGTTGCATGATGATTTGACAATGTTATCAAATATTATTACAACTTTAGTTCCTATTAAAGCCATGGTTGAAGCACTTTCTTGCCAAAATTCTAACCTATTTACAGCAAACATTGCTATTAATTTTTAAACTATTTACAGCTGACATTAATCTATTTACAGCTGACATACAGCTGACATACACACCTAACCTATTTACAGCTGAAATTGCTATTAATTTTATGCTTACAAAATTAAAAGATGCTGACAATAACACAAGCAAGGAAATGCTTATAAAATGTATTTTTGTTTAAGAGTGTACAGTTTTTATTCTACTTAATACTATATAAATGCTGTATCTGTTTTTAAATCCCGGGATTTATGTTTCTCAATCCCGGAATCCCTGGATTGAGAAAGACCTCCGGTATTGCAAACCCTAATCATAATCTTTAAAATAAAATTAAATATTTTTCTTAAAGTTATAAATATAAAAAAATATTTAATGACGCTCTTAAAAATCATTATTAAGAATAGTGTCATTAAAAATTTTTTTTGTTTTTATAACTATAAGAAAAATATTTCATTTCATTTTTTAAGATGATCAGTTTTTCAGTGTTTATTCTGATTCAATCAGTTTTTATTCTGTGGAGTTAAGTGGTTTGGCATACGACATCCTATTAATAAAAATTTTTTTTTTTCTTACTTAAGTTTAAGTATGAAAAGTTTTCTTAAGTTTACAGATCTAATTCCAGTATATCAATTCTGTATATTACATTAGATTTATAAAGCAATAACAGAAAATTGCTTTTATAATAAAAAAGCCAGTCTAAAACTGGTTACCTGGTTTTACAATTTAAAAAAACCAAAAACTGGTTTTTTGAGGTTTTCAGATTTTTGCCAATTTCTAGTGTGGAGCATCTTAAAGATCATATTTTTTATAAATCCTCACTTCAGCAACCCAATCCTCACTTCAGCAACCCAATCCTCACTTCAGCAACCCAATCCTCACTTCAGCAACCCAATCCTCACTTCAGCAACCCAATCCTCACTGAATAATAGGAAGAAAAAAGAATATAATTATTCAATAAAATAAAATTTATGTAAACTGAAAAATAATTTCAAAAACTGGAGCAGAGATTTAGTTACCAAAGTGATTTTTAAACCTTAAAAGCTTCTAAAATTGATGTATATAAAAAGAACAGCTTATTAAATTCTGAAAAAATATTCTTTGTATACATTGAATCAGGTAACAGATCAATCTGGATTTTTTGTCAAATTAATGGATTGAAGTCATTGATATTATTCTGTCGAAATTAAGGATTTGTTACCTTTGTGCAACAAATGATCTTTTAAAAATTAGATATGCGTTTCTATATGTTAGTATTTATAATATAGCCAAAAAAATTTATTTTGCTATATATTTTTTATTAAAATATTATTATTTGCTTTTGCTATGGCTAGGAATCAGACCATATTTGATCCAATAATTTTAAACGATATTGAATCAAACTACTTTGTAAGACATAGTATGGGTTGAGTAATAGTAGACATTTTTCCATATAATCTTGAACTAAGGTGTTTAAATTTAAAATTTCAGCAATCGTGTTTTAATCAATTAGCTCTTTAAATGTATAACCATTGCTATATATATAGGGTAAAAGATTTGTTTTTTGTGGTATGTGTTTTTTGCATTATACACTTTTTATGAAAAAAACAAACTATAGTGTACTTGAAATGTTCTGACTAGCTAACAAAACCAATTTAAACAAAAATTGTCTACATAACTTTAACTAGATAATTAAATTTCAAGGAATTTTTCCTCTCTAAAACAAAATTTGAGGTGATTCAAGTATTTCATTTTGTTCTACACTTAATGGATAATATCTTTGATGATGATGAGAATACATAATTATCTTTAATATTTTTGATTTGGTAATGGGAATATAATTTTTATTCAATTAGTAAACAACTTTAAAATTATGGAAACAATGAATACATTTTTTGTGGTTAAAAAGAGATTGTTTTTTGCTGCATTTTAATAGAAAGTTTTAAAAATTTTCATTTTTTTTTTGATTAAATAAAGTAATTTATGTGATTAATAATGTATTGCAATTAATAGATAATTGCAATTAATAGATAATTGCAATACTTTAAAAGAAGAAGCAACGATTTGCTCTATATCTCTAACAATTCTATCTATCTATAACAATTCTGCTTTATCTCAAAAATATAAAAAAAGATGAAGCTGTTTCAATGTAGGAGGTCTTGCAAAAAATTTCCAATAAAACTTTATCACTTTATGCTGCCTCCAAAGAGTACGACATACCAGAACAAACAATTAGTTGACATTTATAAAAACGACAAAACAGAGAAAGTCTGAAGAAAACTGGCACAAAAAATGTGTTAACTGAATATGAAGAAGAACAATGAGTTGAATGGCTTTTTATGTCATCTAGTTTGGGAGATCCTAAAGTAAAAGATGATTTAATTAAGGCTACTTCAGACTTTTGATTTTGAACATCTTTGCTTTCAGCAAGGCTGCTAGCAACCACTATTAGACTTGGAAGTTACTGGGAAGATATAAGGTAAAGTTTATAAAGCAAGAAAAAGATTGGCAGACAACTTGTTGTTATTTTGAAAGAAAAGTTCACACGCATAGATTCTATGCAATGATCTTCTATTAAAAGATCTATGCTTCTGGAACTGTAAATGGCAATTTTTTGTTCACTCAAACAGAATCAGGAACGGCAAAACCAACCCTTTAAAGATTATATTCAAATAGTTGACCAGTCATTCAAGTCATCTGTCAAACATTATTCTTGCTCTATAAACTTTTTTCTTCCAGTAACTTCCAACGCTAATATTGGTTACTTCCAGCCTTGTTGGAAGCAAAAATGTTTAAAAAAAAATTGTTATGCAACTATACCTATGTATTTTAATTTTCAATAATATTTTTTTTGCTTTCAAAAATATAAGAATCTGTTTTAAAGTATCTTATAATTAACGGAAACAGTTGATAGAATTTAATTCCTGTTAAAATAAATTAACGGTCATTAACAGAAAATTGCCATTTAGAACTTTTAATGGAATGGATGTTAACAATAATTCTGTTAATTTTTTTTTACACAACAGAAAATGACGGTTTTTAAAGGACTGCCAAATTCCCATGCTTAATAATTAATCCACACTATTGTAACTTTTGTAAGACTAATTTATTGTTTGATGTTATTATATATTGTGGAATACTATTTAGTTTCATTACAAATTGGTTTAAAAAATTTATATTTTAGTTTTTGTGTTGAAAAAAATTTGGTTGCAAGTGCGCAAAATGTGAAAACTGGCATTTCTCATAAGGTAATTATTTTTTTCTTGTGAGGTGATTATTTTACAAGTATTCGTGTTTTAATAAATTAAAGAATATATTATAATTATAAAATCTAATTTAAAAATATAAGAAGTATAAGAAGATAAAAAAAGTTTCTAGAAAAAGTTGATTATATTTAAAACTATAAACTTTCCTTCTTGATAGTCTTTTTTTGTAAGTTTCAAAAAAATTTCTAAAAGAATCAGAAATATTTGATCTTCCAGACTAAAAGGTAAAGTGAAATGAAGTTAGAAATGCCAGTTTTAAAGAACTTTAAAAAATGGTGTTAGAACCATGTTTGTAAAACTTCAAAAAATGGCATCTAAAGCAAAGATAAATTAATGAAAATAATAATAATTGTAATAAATTTTAAAAAAGATATATAAGTATAAAATAAAAATTATTAAAGTTTAATTAATACAGTAATATGATAAAAGCAATAATGATAAAAGATAAAATTAATAGTTATTAGATATACACTCAAATAAAAACTTCTTAATTTAGTTTTAATTAAGAAGTAGGATGTTGATAATAAAAGGGTATTAAGTTAAAATCTTTTTTAATAAATGGTATTAATTGGTTCCAGTGAGAAATGCATTGATATTTTATAGAGAGTTTGCCACATTTGATATTGTTGAAAAACGAAGTTAACATTTTCAATATTTCAAGTGTATCACTTGAAATATGTGTATCACTTGCTTAAAAAAAAAATTATTCAATGAATTAGGTAGTTTATTTTAAAGAAAATCAAACACAAAGTGACAATTATAAAGCTTCACAAGATCTTAAAATTTTAGAATTTTTAATTCTTAAAACCTATTTTGGATATTAGATCATAAAGGAGAAAATGTCATAATTCTTATGGAAGTATGTTTTAAACTGTTTATACGATTTAATAGAAAACTACCTTTTTGACCCCAAACAGTGCAACAATAGCTTAGATGGGAGAAGAACAAGGAATAGTAAATTGGTATTGGAATATGTTGGGAAGCATAGTGTTTTATAAATGACAACATACTATTGGCACATGAGAGTTTTATTTAAATGAATTAGTTGATTGTGCCATGATTTCTTTTTTTAATTTTTATTTTATTTTCGAGAAATACCTCTATATATTTTAAATATTTAAATGGAAAAAGTCTTTTACAGTTAATTCTAATTTTCTTTTTATCAGTCTTTTTTTTTGGAGGGTGAAAAATAATAGATTCAGTTTTATTGACATTTAGAGAAATACATCATATCTATTTTAAGCTGACACACCATATCCTTTTTAAGTAGACACACCATATTCTTTAAAAGTAAATACACTTTATTGTTTGAAAGTAAACACACCTTATCCTTTGAAAGTAAACACACCATATCCTTTGTAAGTAGACACACCATATCCAGACCTTGTGATGAAGCAGAAGCTTGTAATGATTGCTCCGCACACGTGAAACACCCCGTAAATGACTTTCCAGGAGCGACAAAAACTTGCTAGTTTTGTTACTAGAGTAAAAAACCACGCTCGTCTAAAGAACTTCGAGGGAGAAAATTATAAGTTGATTTTAAAGAAAATAATTTCAGTAAAATTTTTTTGCTGAAGCCAAAATATGTTTAAACAGTAGAGTTTGTATTTTGTTAAATAAAGAAGTTATATTTGTAATAAAGTATGTCACACATAATTTAGGCGTGGTTTATTTCTTTTATTTGAAAGGTTGAAACTTTTTACCAGTGAGCAAATCCAGGTTTCACTTTTTTTATAAAATCCTGACCTGAATATATAATAAGTGCTTGAATATCGAATTTGTTTTTAATAGTGTATAAGTTTAAAGTCAGGACAGGTTTATCCTGCTACTGGTAACATGTAACCCAGTACAATTTGCTTCATGTCCTGCTGCCTTGTAAGATACGCCTTTTTAGGCAAAGGCTAGAAGATGCCAACTCTGACATAAAACAACCCCTGTCTTGGGGCTTTTGATTGAGTAAAGGCTAGAGATAATGTCTCGATAAAAATACTCATCTTGGGCAGATGTTAAATGCATCCAGCTGCTGTCTTTTAGAAGGCCTCCTAGGCAAAGACTTAAGAGGTAAGCAGTTTCTATCTAATGACCAGCCTCGCACCCCTTCTTCATCTATTAGGCTGGTACAGATGTATTCTTAATACATTGTTTCCAGTTTAGGATGTTGAACGCTGGATCTTCTTGACTCAATGCATGGGTTTTGCTTGTGTCTCTGTTTTTATGACTAGGAAACTCATTCCATTATCTCCTAATGAGGGTATAGCTCAGGGTAAAACTCAGTTTTATGGTTCTGTGGCTGGATGGTAGTCAGGTCTCCTGAACTCTGTGGTAGCTCTCAGAGAGGCTGATTCCATCAACAGCTGAAAAATTTCAAAGTATTAACAGTGCCATGTTGCGCATGGATGGTGTCCCTGTTTGTACTTTTGGTGTGCATTGCCAAGGCTACATTGGAGCCCTTTGTTACGGGTTAGGGTTTATTTATAGTAATGAGGCAATTGCTTGGACTAATAAACAGTGTATTGAGTATTATCTATGTTTCAAGTCAAATTCTTTAACAAATTTGAAAATGAATAAAGTAACAAAAACTATAAAACACAAAAAACCACTGTCATCACCAAGTTCGCTAAACCTATTATTCACTAATATTCGTGGTCTTCGAAGTAACTTTTCTTCTGTTGAATTTTATCTCTTGCAAAGTTCACCAGACCTACTTGCTTTTTGTGAGACTAATTTGAGTTCAGCTGTCTCATCATGTGATCTTAGTGTTGATGGTTACCTTCCTTTATTTCGTCAAGACTCCAATAGTCACATGCTTGGCCTGGGTATTTACATTCGTAAGAATTCAACTATTTGTCGGAAAACTAGGTTTGAATCCACAAACTACTCTTTTATGTGCTTTTGTATAGCACCACTTCACTCTATCACCTTTCTCTTTGTTCTATATCGCTCTCCTTCATCTCAAGACTGCACTCTTCTTGATGTTATTTCTGATCATATTGACCAAGCCCTCTCTCTATATCCATCAGCCAATATTGTTGTTGTTGGTGACTTTAATGTTCATCACACTGAATGGCTTGGCTCTAGTTTCAGTGACTCTGCAGGCATAAAGCCTGCAACTTTTGCCTTTCTCAATCCCTAACTCAAATAGTCAACTTTCCAACTCGCTTTCCAAACAACCCGAATCATTTGCTTTCGCTACTCGACTTATGTCTTGTTTCTGATCCTAGTCAGTGCTCAGTTTCTCCACATTCACCCTTAGGTGCCTCTGATCACAGTTTAATCTCTCTAAAACTATTATCTCATTCTTCTTTATCATCAGAATCCTCCTTTCATTGTACATCTTACAACTACCTTAAAGCTGGCTGGGACTCTTTCCGTGATTTTCTTCGTGATGGCCCTTGGGTAGAAATCTTTCGCTTTTCTGTTGACAAATGTGCTTCTTACATAACTTTGTGGATTCAGGCTGGCATGGAATCCTTTATTTCCTCTCGACGATTCCAGGTCAAGCCTTACTCTTCTCCATGGTTTTCCTCACATCGTGCTTCTGCAATTGCCAATCAAAACCATGACTTCCATATCTATCAGCAAAACAATTCTCCAGAAAACAGACGTTTGTTTATTACTGCTAGGAACCATTGTAAAAAGGTTTTGACTAATGCCAAAGCCCACTATTCTCAGGTCATGGAATCTTGTATTTCATCACAAAAATTCTCCTGTAAAAAAAAAAGACTCCTGGAGAATCTTTAATTGTATCAATAATAAGGGCAAGTCTGTAATTCCACCACTTTTGTATGGTTCAGACTCACCTCATCTAAAGACAAAGCTGAATTGTTTGGTAAAAACTTTTCATAAATATTATCTCTTGATTCCACTAGTTGTGTTCTACCTGATATAGCCGCCAAACAGGTTGATCCTTTGCTTGACATTTGTATCACTTCAGCTTCTGTATCTAAAGTGGTTTTCTGCTTAGACTCTTTTACAGCTTGTGGCCCGGACAACATACCTGTTATAGTCTTGCAGAAGTGTTCTCCGGAGCTGTCATCTATCCTTTCAATACTATTCAACAAGTACTTATCAGAGTCTTGTTTTCCAGCCTGCTAGAAAGCAGCATCTGTTATCCCTGTTTTTAAAAATTCTGGAGAGCGATCCGATTCATCAAACTACCGTCTCATTAATCTTCTTCCTATCATAAGCAAGGTTTTTGAATCTTTAGTTAACAAACACTTAATCTCTCATCTTGAATCTAATAACTTACTTTTTGATCATCAATATGGATTTTGATCTTCTCATTCTACGGCTGATTCGCTAACAGTAATAACCAATAGGTTTTATTGTGCATTAGATAAAGGTGGAGAGGTTATGGCCATCGCTCTTGACATTTCTAAAGCGTCTGATAAAGTTTGGCATGCTGGTCTTCTCCATAAGCTACTTACGGTGTATCTGGAAACATCCTTAAGATTATTGAATCCTTCCTTTCCAATCGTAGTATAAAAGTTGTCCTTGATGGACAGCACTCTTCTTCTTATTCTGTAATCTCAGGGGTTCTTCAAGGTTCAATCCTTGGCCCTATACTCTTTTTAATTTACATTAACGATCTTCCAGATATTCTCATATCTAAGGTGGCATTGTTCGCTGATGATACTACCATTTATTCTTGTCATGATAAAAAGCCAACTCTCTCTTATTGCTCGGAGGGGGCATTTGAGTTTGAAAAGGATCTCACTTCTGCTACAGCATGGGGCTCACAGTGGCTGGTGAACTTTAATTCAGATAAAACTCAATTTTTTTTAGCCAATCGTTATCGCAATTATTTAGATCTTCCTATATTTATGAACAGTAATCTACTTGATGAGTCATCTTCTTCAATCTTCTATGATCATCTACTTCATCTTCTATGATTAACTCTTACTTCTGATCTTCTTGGAAACCATATATTAAATCCATTGCAAAATTAGCCTCTGCTAAAGTTGCATCTCTTTATCGAGCTC